CCCACACGCAAAACACGCGACAGAAGTGAAGTGCCACTCAATCAAAGTCAGAAAGCGACAGAACATTGATGGGGGTTTATTTGCTGGAGGATATCTGCAACAGCGGTTAGGGAAGCGACTTCTTAAAGCCTTCCCTGTTCATGGTAAAATAGTAACGACTCAACTTCTCTGACAAATTGCACAACCCTATAAAATTACTCTCAAGTTTCCCCCCCCAAAGCATTTCCTTAGAGGTGCACCCCCTGCGGTTACGAGGTCTTGAAGGCATAAAAAGCAGAGGCTGCCTTGCGGGATGTTCACAAAAGCTTGGTCAGGGTGCCAAGAAGCCCTGCCTCTGCCAGAGGAATCGTGCAGGTGCAGTGAGTCCTCCATACGGACCCTACTTCTCACCGAGAGGACTACCTGGAAATGAAACCGGACCAAATTCAGGATGACAAGAGGTGTCTGCTGTGACAAAGCAGCACGCCTAAGTCAAATTGCAACGTGTGGCTCTAAAAACAAACGGGGAAAAAAGAGGAGAGTGATGTCCCACCGCCTTGCTTCTGCTCTAAACTTGACAAATCATTATGAAATACCTGAAGATCACTGCAATCCACAGCAACCTAATAAAGGATCTGCTCTTCCAGAAATATTACCGAGCATATTTCACTTCAGCCTCCAAAATTGAATTTTACGGAACAATGTATGGCATTTGCCATCATTTCCTGTAGGCGAAACTTCAAAACACCAGTACAGGTCTAGTCATTCCTCTCAGGAAAAAAAATAAATAAAAAAAGGAAATGAATTAATTGAAACATCCAACGTAGTGATATAACTTCGGGAGGAATCTCCGCGTTGACCTTTCCAAATCAAAAGCCTGTACGTTAAAGTACGGCTCAAGCAGATCCCATGGAAGATACCAAAGGTAATCAAACATATCCACTACATATATAGGGCATCAGGGAGCAGATAAAGTTGACAGTGCTCGGAGTCTCCCTGCCCAAGGGGGCCGGCGGCCAACGTCACCCCACAGGCCGACACAACACGGCTCACGAGGAGGCACTGATCCTGGCCCCGCCGTGTCAGTGCGACCCCGGGCATCGATTTTAAAAGCAGCTGGGTTTCTGCGGGCAGCTCTGAAGGCCACAAGGCGCTGCCCTTCCCCGCACCGCACACCGGCACCGCACCGAGCCCCCCCGGCGGGGCACAGCCGCCCCCCGACGGCCGCCTCCCGCTGCACCTAGCGGGCTCGGACAGCCCCGGCGGGACCCCGCAACACCCGCAGCGCCTCCCCGGAGCCCTCCCGGTCCCCTCCATCCCTCGGGGGGCTCCCGGCCGCCGGGGGACCGATGCCGGCGGTGCGCGGCGGCCGCCCCCGGGGCCATCCCCGACGGGACGGCCCGAGCCCGGGCGGCCACCGGGGGTCCCGCAGCCCCCTCCCCGTGCTCGGCACCCACCTTTCCCAGCAGGGCGCTGCGGCTGGCGGCCGCCAGCTCCCGCAGGCTGGCGGCGGCCGAGGCGGCGGCGGCGGCGACGGCGCTGGGGGCGGCGGCGGGCTGGGGGTACGCGGGGGCCGCGGCGTTGGGGCTGCCGCTGGCGCCCCCGGCGGCGCGGGGCCGCTGTCGGATGCCGTCCAGGAGGCGGACGAGGAGGATGTTGGCGGGCAGCTCGTCCACGCCGCAGCCCACCAGGATGCGGCACTCGGGGCAGCGCAGCTCGTGCCGGGAGCTGACGATGCTCTCCAGGCAGCGGCGGCAGAAGGTGTGCTGGCACGGCAGCACCTTGGCCGTGGTGTCCAGCCGCTCCAGGCACACGGAGCACTCCAGCAGGTCCAGCAGCGACGACTCGTCCATCGCCGCCTCCCCGCCGCCGCCGCCGCCGCCGCCGCCGCCGGCTCCCGCTCCGCCGCCGCTCCGCCGCCCCCTCGCCTCCGCCTCCGCCCCCGCCCCGCCGCCGCCTCCGCCTCCCCTCCGCGGGGCAGCGCCGGGCCCCGACGCCCCTAGGGCCGCCAGCACCGCCGCCGCCACCGGGGGGGCCCCGGCGGAGGCGCTGCGAGAGCCATCGGGGCACCGGGGGAGGGGGGACGGCGAGGGGATGGGGGGCGCGGCGAGACGGCGGCGGGGCTGCCCCCGGCGGCGGCGGAGACCCCGGGGGGGGCGGCCCCGGTGGCGGCGCCCAGCGCCCTGCGGAGCCGCGGTGATGCCGGCGGAGAGGAGCGGGAGGGGGGCGCCCGCCTGGCCGCCTCCCCCCACCCCCTCTCCCCGCCGGGGCTCGGTCCCCTTGGGGAAAGCTGGGGGTAGGGGGGGGGGTGCCCGAAGGCCGGCCCCGGAGCCCCGACGGGGTCCCCGGGGCGGGGGGCGGCGGGGCAGGGCTGGCCGGGCCGGGCCACCCCCGCTCGGGGGCCGGGGCCGGGGCTGCGGGCGGACCCCGCCATCCCTGGCGGCGCGGCGCCCCCTGGTGGGGTCGGGGGAGCCCCGGTACCCGGCGCAAGCCCCGGTGCTTCAGCGCATCCCGCTGGGGTTGTGCCCCCCGGCCCCGCATCCGAGCCCCGCGGGGGCTGCCAGGGCGATGGGGTGTCCCATCCCCGCCCCGCTCCCCGTCCCCGTCCCGAAGGGGTGAAAGCGATGGTGTGCCCGCGCCCCGCTGTGTGCCGGCGTCCTGCTGGGCGCTGGGTTTTGGAGTTTGTGCCCCCCGTCGTGTAGGAACAACACGGGAGTGTTGTAAAATAAGGTGCAGCCGCTTGGATGTGCGGGGTGTGAGCAGATCTCCCGCTCAGAAGCTGCGGGAGAAGCCCCGCTCTTCAGCTTCGCTTCTTCAAAGTATTTCTTTGGAAAGATCCCTATTTAATTAACATTTAACTAACGTGCGATTGAACGGCCCTACTCAGGCCAGGAGCTACTGTTGAAGCAAATGGGAGTCTTACCAAAGAGAATTTGCATTTGTGGTCCACCCCATCACTGCACACGACCCTGCTGTCGGCTTTACGACCCTGCAAATAACTCCTGACATACACAGCAAGATGAGGGCCGTGTTGTGGTAAGGGTAACCTGCAGCAAAAATCACTAAATTTCAGTAGGAGAAATGCCTTGGATCTCTTGTCTTGCTGTGGAATAGAAGGAGCAAGAGTAAAGCTGAAGGCAAGCTCTTGATACGGTCAGGTCATCACTGAGTAACGCCCAGTAATCTAACCCATGTCCTTGTGGGGAGAAAATCCAAACTCACCAGTTTTAAACTCTAAATAATACGGATGCTCAGAGGCATGTGAAATACAGTATCAAGGTCTTGGGCTTTCTCCAGAGTAGTACGGTTAATTTAAGAAAAGAGGTAACGGAGAACCTTAAGGATAAAAGGCTTCACCAAGGAGAGGGAAGTGCAGGTAAATCTGTAATGAGAAGTGTTTCAGCATCTCAGATTCCCCCTTTCAGAAGTGAAGAGTTTGCCTTATCACTGTCAAAACGTATAAGCAGAAAGCGCTCTCTTCACATCAGTGTAAACCCAGAGGATCCAGCGTGGCTAGACAGGAGCTGCCCATCCATCCTTCCTTCTGGTCACACAGGGCTTGCAGCCAAGCAGACCTGTCCCCAAGCCTCCCAGCGTTTCCCAGTTACATATCCCCAAACCAGGGGAAATACCTGGGAGAAACAGCATCCAAAGATGAGACTGGCTCCCTTGACACTGATACAGCTTTAAAAAGGTGCAGATGTGCAAAACATTTATTTTTCGATAGAAGAAATCACTGACATGCCTACAAGGAGCCTCTGCTGCAATCCACCTGGAACAGGAACGGGTTGTCATCGTGGAGAAGCAGAAGCTAAACCTGAGGAAGGAGGTGAGGGAGCTCCCTCCTGGAGGGCTGCATCACCGCGGGACACAGGGGAGGATGGAGGACATGGGGAGCCCAAGAGGGATGGGGAGAAGGGGAGGTGAGAGAAAAAGAGGGAAAAGGAAGGGAGGAAAGGATTAAAAGAAGGAAAGATTCCGGGAGAAATTACACGAGGGACTCGAGAAGTGTAAAAGTGCACTTCTGTGGAGAGGAGGGAGAAACCAGTTGGGCTCCAGCTAGAAAAAACACCTCCTGAGTGTTTGCATCACCTTTGATACCAAGAGAAGCATTTTCACACTTAAAAATTTAGCACATATTTATACGCTCTGTGCCTCAGCCTAAATGAGAGTTAGGCAAGGCCTGATGGAAATGAAAGGAAAAGAATTATCACACATGCTTCATCTGTTTGCCAAAGAGACCATGGGAAACAATACATTAAATATTAAGTAACAAAATACTCTGATTGTTAAGAATTTTGGAAACAGAAAAAAAGATGAAACTCTCAGAAGCCTGGGATAAAACACATAAAAAGGAATGGAAAGAGATACAGAAGATGCAACCAGTTTTGGTTTACTTTAAAGAAATGTAGGTTTTATTAATTTCCTGTCTCAGCTGCCAAAACATCTAGCTTCAGATTATAACTGTAAAGTGATTATTTGTGAACTCATTAAGTAATGTGATTAGCACGGTTCTTAAGCAGAGGTGCTGCTTTACACACAGTGATAGAGCAGCCCATTTTGCCATGCATTCCTTGGTTTGGGTATTTGAGGAGACACATAGAAAACAATTCCTGTTTCAAGCTGCGGAAGAGACCTCATTCCCATGGTGGATGAAAAAAAAAAAATCCTGCTTGATGCATTAACTTTGAAGAGTAGCTGCAGACAAGAAGAGACTCAAAGAGGAGGCAAAATGCTCTTACAGGAGAGCAAAGGCTAACAAAGCATTCCAAAGTATTGATTTGTTGTCCTTAATTATAATAATTTCACAATTGACTGAGAGATTTCGCTGTCTGTGGCTGTATCTAAGTTGATTTTGAAGGCATTTTCTGGTGACAGTGTGTGGATGTTACACCTTCAGCTTTGCCTTCATGTGTTTGCATGCTACACTTGAAAATGGCTAACTTTTTACCAGTCTTCCACTAAATGTGATTTGATTATACAGAAATTATTCTCAATTCTCGTTTGTATTCTTGATCTGTTCGTAAGGGTCTACAGCACAAAAACTATTCAGTTTACACAGCTTGGGAACATTTGCCTACTAAATAACAAGCAATGGGTAGCTCTTGTTTGTATGATTCTTCAAAAACCTGTGAGGCATTATAGGAATGCTAGGCACCGTTATTATTTCAGAATGAGTCGATGTAATTAAACTTGTGGCAGAAGGCACAGCAGTCCACTTTTACTATTACATTTTCTCCCAATGTCTAAATGATCATTCAGTTATGCTTTCATTATTTGAGCTATTTACATTTAGAGTCAAAAAACAAAGGTGTTCTTGGATATTTGAACTGAATAATATTAACACTCAATGGAGGGAAGGCTGGGAGCTGTCAATTCTGTCCTTTTTTTTTTTTCCCGGTTTTGGATTTAAATAATGTGGTGGATTGGATTTGGATTTAAATATTGTGGTTACCAAACTGACTTTAGGCCATGGGAAAATTTCTGCAGAATGGACAAGTTTGAAGATGGGATCTTCTGTCTGTTCCTTTGGCTGGAGATAAGATTTTTGATTTAGTTCCGTCTATATGTACATTCCCTTCCATCGTATAAGCCTTGCAATAGCTCTGTACATGGGAAGAGTAAGTTCTCTGTTGTCTGTCAAAAGAGAGATTATACAGAATCAGTGGCTGAAAATCCTTATTGAAACCAGGGCAGGACCACTGCCTGCAAAGTACATAGGCTGTGATTATACCCGTCTTGGCAATACATGGGTATAGTCCTGACAGCCTACCCAGCATCATTCTGGAGCATGTATTTGAGATCCTCCTTATGAAACAGTCATAGAAAATCCATCTAGGCGTACTCTGGATTTTTTTTCAGTGCCAACTTAAATGACCACTGGAGGAGGACATGTTCTTTACATTTTTCTTTACATTTTTCTTGACATGATCTTAACACTGAAAACAAATCTGTGCTTGCTTTGTGTTTAACAACAACACTGAAGGAAAGAAAGAAGGAAGGAAAAAGAGGAAGAAAAGAAGGACATCCATATACCTCCGTAGTGTCCTAACAGGTATGTTTACCATGTCATGTTGGCCTCAGGTCAGAAAACTGTGTGCCTAACGGCACAGCTGAATAGTAGCAGATGTTTAGGCAACCCTACATCAGCCCTGCCTTATCTTCCCCAACAGTCCTGGCTGGATGTCCTGCCCCTTCCGTTGCACCTTGCCAATGCATTCAACATGTCTTCATGAAAAAACAACCCTGAAATGAAAAAAAATCCAAAGAATTTTGACCATAAAAATGACAGATCAATCTTTAAACTCCACACATTCTGCACGATATTGTGGTTTTGATTCAATAAACTTGTGAATTAGCATGGTACTTCCTCCAAGAATATACTGTGCCCTCTGCCAGCTTTGGTACACCAGCCTATCAAACCACCATGGTTTTGATGCAATTTTTATCACATTCTGTGTAGACTGGGTATTTTAAAGATGTGGATGTTGGCAAGCCAGATATTGTCTTCTGTGCAGTTTTCCCTGCACGTCCAGCCCTCCTGATAAAGCACCACATCTCCAATGTGGTTATATGACACCCATTCATTTTACATGGGTTTCAAGATGCATTTTGGACTTTTATAAAATTAAAACTTCAGCTTCTAACTACACCTTTTTATTATTTTTTAAGCTGAAAAAAAAAAAAAGCTTCAAACATTTATGAGATTAACTTCAGTGCAGTAAATTATGCATAAATTATGCAAGCAGTTTTTAATCTTGGTAGAAATCAGCTTGATGGTATCAAAAGCTGAAGAGGAATATTATTCTAGACCCTAATAACTTTTTCAGGTCACAAGGACAGTGACACCTGTTAGGCCTTTGCCCTGTCTAGGAATCAGTTACAGTTCTGTAAACTGATAAAAAAAAAATTCTATTTCTTCTCTTTTCTTCATGGATCATAAATTTCATTAAATTGCCTTCACTTTAGACACTTGTATTTTTCTTAAAAATGGAAAGATACTTCTGTCAGTGATGAATTCATTTAGCCCATTCATCAAGATATTTTTCCAGCTCATTGGCTTCTTTGTGTTATTCCTTTACACTAATACTTCCCACTAACTCGCATGTAAAATTAACAGGATGTTGGAGGATATCTGGCAAAGTGCCTTCTTGGGATACTTAGCAAGACTACCAATATACTGCAGCAGCAGGGTGAAGGCGCTTCAGTCGGCAAAGCTGGATGTCGTGCCGTCACAGCAAGACCACTTCAACAGCAGTGGCCAGGTATGGCATCAAAGTTATTCCTCCATTATGATTTTTCTTGTCACAACTGGGAGAAGGTAGATTACTCCATCGCTGTCCTACCAGTAACGAAGTGCCAGTCCAGATGCTCTACAGAATTCCACAGCAGGGAATAGGAAGAGATTGCCATGGTTAATCTACATATTTCCAGTTATTTTTTTAGAGTTTAGAATTAGTTGTTTAATCTTCTTGTGCTGCAGTTGTTTTTAAAGGCCCAGAATAAAGTTGCCAGTAACTTGAAGTTGATATCCTGATTTCTCGGATTTGCAGGCCCTCACATTTCAGTTGGGGATGCTTAATATTTCCAGTTTTCATCAGGGTTTCTCCGCTAGTCAGTGTGCAGCAGCCAGCCAAGGAAGCTGGCTTGCCCAGAGCCCTGCTTTTCCTGGAGGCCCATCCTGTGTGTACCTGGCCAAGGCTGCAGAGCACAGCAGCTCTGCTCGTGTTCACGAAGCAGTGGAGGTGCCCTGGTGGTAAGTTCCCATGTGTGGCAAGAAAAAACTTCACCAGAAGGGCTGGGTGCTGCTGTTCTGAATGGTTAAATTATTAGAGCTTTCCTCAAACTTCAGCCAGCACGAGCAGCCCACAGAAACTGCTACTGCACTGAAAATTAATCGATGCATCATCAAATTAACAAGCCATCTGCAGCTAAATTATGAATTGGAAGAATACTATGGACTACAAAATCTTTCATTTCTGTATCATGCTTTTGACCTAACAAATGTGGTTTTTTTTTTGAAAGGAGAATTAACTTTTATTTTCTTTCATGTGGTTCAGGAATAACTTTGACTTCTATTTGTAAAAGTTGGGAAGAATAATGATTAATTACCATGCACAAGAGAAAACACGTGCTCTTTCAATCAGCATTGACTTATTTAAATCAAAGAGGGAAAACAGCAACCAACAATGCTGCCAAAATAAATGTTTAATGGAGCACAAGGCTGTAATTTTCTCTATAATGAGGCGTACCATCTCTAGGAACAAAACGGGTACCATCTCTGCAGATAGGCATGTACTTAGAAACATAAAGACGCAATACACAGAGAAGTCTTCGCTCTTTCGAGCTACAGACAATACAGGCAGGGAATAACTCAATAGACTGTATTAATATTCAAACAAGCAGCTGTCAACACTTCAGCCCAGAACAAGCTGAAGCTCCTTACATAGCTTTTACTACCGTAATAGTTGGGTTCACTGGCAGTAGATTGGAAAACACGCAATACTAATGAACCCTCCTGCTTCTCCTGGCCCACCATTTAATCCTTCCTAAAGTGAAAAACATTTACTACGTATGCAATACCACGCTCCCAAGAGGCTTCAGGTTCAAAAGAGATATTTCAATTTTGTTTCTTAGCAACATCCATCCAATAAAAGTGAGACGCTATACAAACTGTAATGTTTGTGTTGTTTTAATCTATAATGCAGTGCTTTGCCATTGCTAAGGAGGTGTGCCACTACAGCAGCTTTACAATGTCTCCTATAATTAGACATATGCATTTTTGCATTCCTATGCTAGATTACCTGCTGCAGAATATTGTTTTGAAGACACTGTAATATTTTCGTGAATAAAGGACCAGTTCTGTTCTGATAAGGGCACACTTGCCAGGATTACAATGTGGCCCGTTACATAGGAAGAGATCTTTTGATGTTCAATTCATGGGCAGCTTTTGGGCATCTTGCAAGGACTTAATTCCTAGGATGAGTATCTGCCAGCCTCCAATCCAGGGCTAAAAGGATTTGTACAGTACTTACTTCTTGGAGGGATAGCAGGCAGCATTTTCTGAGCCCCTCATTGACTGACTTGATGTGACCAAAAACAGTTTTGTGTTTTCTTGACTTTAATGTCAAGCTGAGGAAGAGGAGGAGCCAGACAGGTCCCCAAAAGCACCTAGAGAAACATGCCCTACAGAGTAACTTGCAAAATTTCACTCACCACAGCTATGGCTCTTTCCCTCGGTCATTTGGCATAATTACTTTCGCAATACCTACAAAGAGGAGTAGGAGAGATGTGGTATTTATCTTCTTCCTCTCTTTTTATCCTTCTCCTATGTATGTTTGTCTTTAAAATTCAGAAATTGCTCATCTCTAGAAAAACTCTGCAGTACTTGTGTTCTCTAAGTGCCTGGTAATAACAGCTCCAGAGCACGAATGCTGCATTTTCAATAGACAAGTGTTAGAAAGGTGGAAATGACAACATCTACTATATAAAGATGTGCTGCCTTGTTATTTAATGCAGCACCAGAGAGAGAAGGAAATGGGATATATGGTGCCACATCTTCCAGCAGGTTGGGTACCTGAGACTGCAGGATCTCCAGTTCACACTACAACTTACCTTACCAAGGAACCTTCTGATCCCAGTCCTCTCTGTGTTGATTTTATACTTCATTTTTCCTGTGTTAGGCACTTCGACAGATGAACTGGTATTTTCCAGCAACGTGGGCTGAAAAAGCAGTCTGAAACATTCAAGGAAAACTGATTTGAGGGGAGGCACATAAGTCTCTAGCACCACAGATGTAATTTCTGAGTTATTTAACATTGAAGAAAGCTGAAGAAAACACTACCACACAGCAACACCAGGTGGAACTAGGAGAAGAGGGAAGAAGGCAAGAAAAGGAAGATCCTCCTTAGTTTGCCAAGTTTTCTGAAGAAATACCTTTTCCAAGCGCAGTCTTGGCAGAAAATGACTTATTTACTTATATTTCACTAATTATCAGCTTCTCTGGATTCATACAAAATTAACGGGCTGATTGGCTCTTTAAAGCAAAGAAGCAAACAATCTATTCAGAAATAATCACTATGATAACTCAACCTAATATGATAACCCAGCTCGACACCTCCCTTTTCAGGCAAAAAGCTAGTGGCAAGGCGTAAACGTTCCTCATGCTGTGCTCTAATTACCTTATATTTTAGAAAAGCTGAACACTTTGTAGCTTTTGCTGAGGTCAACTGAAACTGGTGGCTGCTGCCTGCCTTTGTGAAGGAGGTTATACATGTCAACAAGCCCTGTCAAAATAGCAGAGGAAATGAATCACATGGTGAAAGGCCACAGTTTCTCTCTCGGAAATAGTTAATTCAGCTGCCTAACATGAAAGAAGAAGGTTTTTCACCTAGTAGATACCATTGCAATGCAAGTCCCCGTGGATCAATAGTTACCCCCTAATTTGCACTTAAGCCCGGAATAGGAAATCACCCTCAGCCATAGCGAGATGCTGCCTACGCATTTTGCAGAGGGCAAGAAGCCAAAGACAATGCTGAAGGGAAGTTTCAGAGCAGCCCCCGCTTCTTGCCTCATAGAGAGACATCAGAGGAGGAGGTGCTTGGTGGTGGCAGCTCCAAACCTTCTCCCTCCTCAGTAAATAGGAGTGCTGTGCATCCACCTGTATGGAGAGAAATCCTATGAGGAAGTACTTCAGATCTGGTAGCGTTAGCTTTGGCTTCTATGGGAAACACACCTGCCAGATCCTGAGAGCTGTGGGATTCAGCAGAGGGCGACGAAATCTGCCACTGCTGTTCAAGTCTCCTTGTGCTTATTTTCATAAACTTATATGAGTTTTAATAACCATTTAGGTATCACTGTTAACCTTCAAGCGACTCCCCATGTTAAAGTACTAAGATTTCTTGCATTATGCTGATGAAAACATTAAGATGCAAAACTTTAAAGTTCTGTTTCTGTTTAATCAGAAATATTGAATGAAAAAATTATGTATAAAATGTATTGTCCGTAACACAGTAATAAGTCAAGTGTTCTGTGCCCACAACTCAAGGTGATTTTCTTACACATCATATTTACATGGAGGCATTCAAAATTTCTGGGTAGAGCAGAGTGATCACTGGCCCTGGAGATTTTGTGTGTGTGTATCCCCTTCACAAATCAGCATTCACTCCTCATACACTTCTCTGGGATTTACCTTCCTCATGAGCATTACAATCAGAGCACTTATTTGCTAGTTCGCTTACAGAAAGAAAACACAAAAAGGTCTTGAATGCAATCAAAGCACATTTTCTTTGATTTGCAGAAATATTCACTATGCACACAGCTATTTACCAAAAAGAAAAAAAAAAAAAAAAAGTGTTTCTTTCAACCATGTTAATTTTTCCTATTTTTATTTCCCACTGAGAAATCAGATTGTAATAGTTTATAACTGGAAGGCCAGTCAACATTGCCTTACCCCTTCCGTAATAATTCACCCTTGTGCAAAAAAACATTAATGGGGAGCAGCAGAGCAGCATTTATACCTCATTTGCAGACCATATATTATACTGACCTGAGTGCTGTGGATTAGGTTTTCCACCCCATAATTTAAAACTGAACATAATCAATAAAATTACGGACTCTGTAACATTGCAGACCACATTTGCATGTTGTTGGTGCTACTGTGTGTTGTAAAAACCTGCACAAGCAGGAAATGGTGGTGTAAGAAGTCAATAGATGTGAGAGAGGATCTTCTTTCCCTCAGCAAAAGCATAACATAAACTGCTTGCTCCAAAATTCAGGCTGGGAACTCACCTCTACTGCATGAATGTAGAATGTGATAGGAGTGTTTATAGCCTAACAGTGATTTACAATAAGCACGCAAGTAGCAGCAATTAATAAATATGACTAGAAAATGATATGTTCTGGTCAGAAGTCAGGTTGCTGTTCAGGAGCAACACCATCCCGTGATTTTTTTACCAAGGCACACAACCAAAATGTGCAAAGGCAATGTAACGTGGACCTCTGTGGCAGTGGGGCTGTACTGGCTTAATTGATTTATAATGAGTCAAGCTGCCTGTTTATGCAAATGGAACAGCCAAGTCCTGTGATATTAACATCGTGTGCCAAACTGCTAAAAATATTTCTGACAAAATGAGCTGGGAAAAGTGATAAAGCTTTACTGCTTCCTGCTTTTACTTTCAGTGTGTTCACAAATATTAATAATATGCTAAAATGCAGCACTTGGGGTATAAAGGTGTCCCCCCAGCTTCGTAACAGACAGGAGAAGGACAGTTTCCCATCAAAGACTGTGACTCTTCAAGATGTGCTGCCCAGATACATGTATCTGAAGATGCAGATGATCTCCAGGTGTATGAGGGAAGATGCAGAAGGGGCAACCACATCCTTCACCACTGCAGAGGCAGGATGCTGGAGGCAGTGGGCAAAACAGATCCCAGGAGCTGCTGGCTTTTGAAGAACTGACAAAAAGGAGACGTTTCAAGCAAATTTGATGTTTCAGCTATTCCAGCCTTGTTTGTGCTCACACAGAGATCAGTAGACATCTCTAAAGTGTTGGCTGGGCACACCAGCAAGGCATTTTCCCAGCTGTGGAGAAGCACTGAATAGCAGCATGTACTGATGCATCAGTATCTTGAAAATACCTGAGACACAAACCTGTGCTGTCAGCTGCTGTCTGTGGGGTCAGGTCCCTTTTGGTGGACTCAGGCAAAGCAGCCTCCACATATCTTGGGGTAAAAAAAAAAGGTACGAACAGTTGAACTCTTTCCTGGCAAAAGAAAAATGAGGCCTAGTACCTCCAGGCGGATTATATGAGAAGTGAGGCTCAGTTTGGCTTTTTCTATTTTTTTTTACAGATTGATGAAGGAAGCATCTCCGCTTCCACAGGAACATAAAGTAGTGCTTTTGCTTTTAAACCACCTTGTGTGGTAAAAATGCAACAGAGAAAAGTTTCTGAGAAGAATGGATGCCAAGAAAAAGCAAAGAGAGCTGAGGCCAGTGGTGATTCAATCTGCTTTGGCTAAATGAACAGCTTAAGCATCACTGCCTAACGCTCTTTCCGAGGCATATCCCTGCCAAAGATGCCGTGGACACCTATGGTAGTGCAACCAGTTCCCATAATAAGGGGAGAGAGGGATATTTTGCAACATGTACTCAGCAACTTGAATAAATGCCTAGCTATGGAGGAGAAGGTCCAAAGCTCGGTGTGCGTGCCCGGTGCTGGCAGAAGCAGCTGCCTGGCTCCCGGACAGGCCTCCCTCACAACACGTTTGTGCCTGCTGACAGCTCATTCTCCATCACCCTCCTAAGCATCCAACCCTTCAGACTAGCTGTGTGCCCTCCTCTGCCACCACCCTACAGGGTGAGACCCCAAAGGCATGCTCCAACTGCCATGGCTGCCCTATGGCTTCATCTTCTCCATGCACACCAACCCACAGGTTGTCTGGAGAAACCATCTGCAAGGAGAAACTGATAGAACAGAGGTCCCTCCACCCAGGTATATCTACAGAGCCTCGTGAAGAGATTTGAGTACCAGTGGCTGGCAGAAAAGCGCTTTATCAGTGCTTATCTCTGTGTTTTCATAATATCTAATGAAGCGGCACATGAAGATAACAATGTAATAGACCTCCTGAAAAAGACATTATATATTCACCCTGTGTTTTTTTTTTCTTTTAACAGAATGAGTTGCATTGTGCCTCAGAAAACAAGTAGGAGGCTTTTGCAGGCTTGCAAGAGCCGTCTGTGGCTTGCTGAAAGGAGCTCTCAGAGATCAACCAGGCTTTAGGGTAAACCACACTGTAGAAAAAGAGAAGTGAACCTTTTGAAAACTTTGCATAAAAAGGAACTGCTGTCACAGGGAGAGACCGAAGGAGCTTTATTGTCTGACTCCTCAAAGAAACACTTGCCAAGATTTTTAAAAGGCAAACAGGAGAGCAGCATCTGGCGGGGTGGAGATGAGCCCAACCCAGCCCAGGTGGGATCTCTTTCCACAGCCCAAATGAAAAAGGCAGGGACATGGTTAGAGACAACACTTTGTCAAAAGCAGTTTTTCATTTGTAAGCCTCGATACAAAGAGTGGGGTGGATGGGGATGCATAAGTCCAGCGGCACCACATCCCAGTACAATGCCCAGGGTGAAAAACTAGTGCAAAAACAGCAGGAGACTCAGCTATTCCATGTCTTAGGTGCACCTGGGCTGCAGGGGCTGGTGGCCCAGAGGAAGGGGAAATGAGTGCATTCGTCAGCACACCACAAGACTCTAAGCAGACAGCCCCAACCCTTCCCTGCTGGCACTCCCCATGTGGTGAGGACTCAAGGGCTCAAAGTCTGCTTTCAGGCTAAGTTAGGTTAATACCTCCCAGGCATGAAATAAGTACAGGTCATCCCACCTCAAAATGCACTAGGTTACCTCCCAGGGCCTACTTTGGTCTTGTTTTCTGTGGCTTCTGGGTTAATACACAGCTAAATAATGGAATAGTAGAATTTGGCTAACGTAGTTTTTAGCATCCACAGTTCTGTGGAGACCACAAGGGAAATAGATGGACGTTTTACAAAGGAGTATTTTCTAGAGAAATACTAAGGAAACACTAAGGAAACTGAAGAACAGGCAGTGCAACAAGCAACTATTGGATGAAAAACAAGAGCACACCTGAATTTGACAAAGTCATCTCCAAGACCCACATCTTAGGGCTAGACCAATGGATGCACACTGAAAAGGCTGTGGGAGGAGCTGATCACCTGTAAGAATATCCCCAGACTGTCAAAACTACTGTCAGGAAGCCTGATGGCTGGACATGTTCCTCTCAATTTTCTGAGCTGCAAGGTGGGTTTGTGAAGAGGGACTGAGCCTGGCTTGAGGAACATCTCTAATTCATTGAGGAGGCTCAAAGGGATAGAAAAAAATATGGTTTTGTGAGTTTAAGTGTGTTTTCTCCAAAGTCCAGTAACATCTTAGACAATTTCTATCTGTGTAATGTTGTCACTTAAGGTTCACCAATGTCTCTTGTCCTGTTGCATAAAAGCACAACTGTATTTTGACAGGGAATTATGGCTTTTGTGGAAACAAGATAAATAAATGCCAGTTGTCAGAGAGAAGATTGTCTTTTCCACATTTGAAAATTGTGGGGACAAAAAGAGTTCACAGCACCAGCAAATGCTACTTGCTTAGAGCATCGTTTTGAGTCAGAGGAGTTACATTCCAGAGGTACCCTTTCTGGGAAAAGAGCCTGTCTCTAATAGACGGTATGGTGCTGGTGAAAACAGTGAGGCTGAGCACAGGCCTTTTCCCTTGGGTAGCAACCTGGCAGCACTGAGTCAGAGTGACATTTTTTACAGGCTCTCAGACAAAATTTATGGAAATTGCTCTGGAAATTACAAATCCCCAAACTGACAGTGCCCAAAGCACCTGGGATATGGACACAGCCTATTCCTGAAGACCAGTTGAGGCTTTCTTACAATGCCAGCAAATCAGTATTTCGTGTCAGCAGTGTGTGCTTTCTGAAGTAGCTGAACACCACCACACGAACAAGCAGATGGAAAAGGGAACCAAATTAATTGGGAGCCCAGCACCCTGTGCTAATATTAGTTCTTGATCTACACCCCTGACTCCAAGAATGTATTCATCCACTGGTCCCTCACATTTATGCAGGTGAAGGCAGTAGAGCATAGGGCTGGAAGGGAATTTCTGGGTTACGTACATTGATACAGGATTTGTTCAAAGGGGCCTTTCCCATGCCCTCCACACACAAATGTCCCTCTATAAACATGAGACCTGTAGGAAAAGACCAATCACAATGCCTCTAATGCTGCATAAGAAAAAAAAGGGGGGGAGGGGGGGAGGAGAAACTGTCATCAATACAGCACAAGTTGTTGATTACTGCTAGTCTGGACCCCAAACCTACATGGGGGCAGGTTAGGTGTGCACACCTGGGGCACATCTTCATGCTTGGCCTTCTCCAAGGAATCCCATTCACACAGTCCATGGGGTGTACAATGATCAGTGACTATCAGGACGATGACTTCAAACCAGTGTTCCTGATCTGGGTTAAAATGCTGATGTAGATGTACCTACAAACAACCTTCTTGGGGGCATCATGCAGTCAAGAGCACCAGACTTGGCCCTCTTTCCCACCTTCAAAAATAAAAATTCATGCCAAATTATACATTAAAGTGTTAAAAAGGACTTCCTCTTTGTCCCTTACTTGTGATCAGTGGACACCCACAACGGAATAATATTAGATAAAAGCATGGTGCAAAGAAGCAGCAGAATAGCATCAGCTCCTCTTTCAGGTGTCAGCACATCAGAGACCTCTTCTGCCTCCAGTAAACCTCACTTTCTTTTTGCACTTCTTGCTGTGAAAAGTGGCTAGGAGGGATGCGGAGTTCTTTGATGAAGAACAAACCTGAGAGCTCAGAGTAGTTCAAAAAAGCTCTCGCTGCTCGTGAGAGCCAAGCCTTGACAAGCCCCTTTCCTTCCAGACTCAGAGGATTCCTTCAGACGTTGAATTTCAGGAAAACGAGCTTGTGCAGGTCTCCTTCACTTTATTTTTAGAGAAGAGAAATAGGCCAAGCATCTTTCAGATGTGCTCAGAGAGCCTGTCACTTACGGAGACATCAGCCTCACGAAGGGGACGTGCTTTAGGCTGAGGGAACTCACACCCAGCCATAACAGATTGGAACATGGAAATGGGAATGCCCTCTCCTCTCCAAGCCTTTATGAAAAACATAAAATGCTGTCACACTTTGTGTGATACATACAATAGAAAATAATGAACCTTACTGACTCCTTTTAAGTAGGAGTCAGTGCTCAGATTATTCCTGATATATATATACATACACTTTTATATATATATATATACACATCTCCCACAACATCTACAGATAGATGTGTGTGTATATATATATATGTGTGTGTGCTGCAATGGAATTACATGACATCTAGAAGTGCAGACAGAAAAGTTTGCTGCTGATGAAGGGTTGTTGAGTTTGCATGAGACCTGTGTTTCTCAGGAGACTCCAGATTGACAAGTGTTGAAGGAACTAACATTTAAGAAAGAAAAAGGACATTTTCCCCCAAAATTCAAAATGAACACATATGCACAGTTTTTAGTGCTGTTCTTACCTCCAGTATGAGAAAACTTACTTTATCCATTCATTAAATCAGAATCCATTTATCACTACAACTGACTGAAGTGATCCTAATGATAAATGGCTTGTTACACAAAAACTGACGGAGGGAGAATTAGTGACATTAAGAATATTTCACAATTTAAATTAGAATGTCTTCTTTCTTGTAAAGTTATTTCTTTCAGTAATTCATTCTGACTTTAGTATCTCCTGAACTAGAGTTAATAATATTAATACAATTTTAACTATTCAAATTATGGTCTGTCTTTTTTCTATAGCTGGGTATTTCATTTAGTAAATTAACATCCACACAAAAAGATTATTTAATTTAACAAGAAATCTTTCCATGGTTGGATGAGGTAATAAAAAAGCCTAATTCTTGAAAGTTACTGATAAGCATAAAATCTTGATGAAAGGTATGCCATTTATAAGAATCTGGAAATCTCTGAACTTTCTTGTTCAAACACCTGCCACTTTCCTTTTCATACCTACTTGTTACTCTAAATCCCTAGAATTCATAAAGAACAGAAGAACCGTAGCATCACCTGAAGAATGTAGAATTTGTACATCTGGTTTTCTATTTTATCATTCACATGCTCACTTAGACCAAATTAATAAACATATTGACCTCTTTGGGGGAAAAAAAAATAAAATGGCTACAAAGGGCTTGGATTTATGGGTGACAATGGGAGATGATGCAGATTTATTTAAGAGAACTAATTGTACCTCATTATGTGTAATGAATGCCTTTCCA